AATAAATTAAGTTTACGTGATGAACTAACAGGTTCATATTCGGTTTCAATTAGTTTCTGCCGAATTGTATCGGATTGTGACATCGGATTTAATATATTTGTGTCATTAGCTGTCTTTCTATTTATTAGATTATTTAAATTATTATACTTAGCGCTAAAGTGTAATGCACCTGGATATTTTTGTATATCTCGAGAACGAAAGCAGCTAGAAAGCGACGATTTTTTACTATTTGAGATGTATATGTTGGGAAAGTAAAAATTTACATGATTATCTTGGCTATGGAATAGTCAAGTTGATCAATGTTTACTGTAGATTTTGATTGAGAATTTGCGATAAAAATTTATGAACTAACTATGAGTTCCAAATTCAACCGATCAATAACAAAGACATTTGTATGTCGATCTATGAAAGGCTAATTCTTCCAACTGTTTCTATTCGGAAGTTAGAAGCATTGTAATGAAGAAAATCTCGAAATAAGCCAACTAATTACAGATCACTCTATATTGTACTGAATTTTGAATATTTGGTTAAATTGAGTTGAATGGTGATGTTATCATTAAGTTTCAATGTAATTGTAAATTACTAGATCATAACTTTGTAACATAGTCTATAAAAAGTTTTTAACACTAGAAAGGATATTTTCTAGATTCATTTGGATAGATTTGAAGATAATCGGAAAAAGTCTAACAAATATATGAATAAAACCGAAGCATATCAATGTATTAGTACGAATGGTCCATTAGCAGAATCACGATAAAAGTTGCAAAGACATTGTGCAAGTACTTCTCTTTCATCACATGTTCTTTTTGTTATGAATAGGCAGTAACAATTAGTCGTATATCGTTCGAAAGAGAAAATAACGAACTATCAACTGATCACAAAATATTTAGTCAAACACATATCCATCTATCCAAAAAAGAGCTTGATACTTTTGTCCAGACTTCTGAATTGCATGTTACTAAGAATATTCTTATTATACTTACACCGTACCTTTTAGACTCGCACTGTATCATGATATTCACATCGTGTTCCCACCATACCAGAGATTCTCTCTATATCCTGCATATTCGGATCTGCTGTCTCCTCTTTTATATACTTTAATAAATTCATGGCACTAAGTCAAATGAGTAAGCAAAATAATACTGCGCATTTATTTGTCCATAAACGATTATAAATTCATTAATTAAGATGTGTCTTCATCATGATTCGAAAATATTTTTCTATCAAAGTAATTGTTAAGATCAAGTTGACATTCGGAGTCATAATTCTGGTTCGGAAAATAGTCGCTACACGAGTCTTGTCGACGAATATCCCATGTAACTATGTAAAAAAACAAAACAGGTTGATGAGAGAAATAAAAAATGATGAAAATATTTCATAATGCCTGTGGAATATCTAAGGTTAGCATTCAACTTTTTTCTTCGTAGATATTAGTAAATACACTAAGACTAACTCTCACTCACTCTGAGTGTCCTTTTACACAGGATGCTACCACTAGGATATGGGTGTGGGTACTCATGTCGGCTTTGGCTTTATTGAAGAGAAGAACATCTGGCTCACTTCCAAACTCTGCTTCCACACCCACATCTATTTAAGAATAGTGCTATCACATTTTTGTCTGTCTTTGATCTATCCATGACCTCATCACTATGAGTCTGCTGCCAAACGTATTTGATCTTCAGTGAAGGTATATCTGATGTGTGACTTTTTACAGCCCGCTCCTCCATTCCTAAAGCTATGTTGTCATTTCTGAGCCATCCCTTAAAGAATGTTACCTCATAGAGCCTGTGTACTGCGAAGCACTGACACTAAACGACATACTGATTCAATCGACATCGCATCTAGTGTGGCTAACACAAATTAGTGTAGCGAAATACTAACTGCTGAACATTGTCAACAGTTGTGCACATTTTCGTGGACGCCGCTACATCTCCTAATCATGTAGACAATGATTCATAAGACCGTGCACAAATGCCTAAGATGCCTATTTTCTAGGCATTTAGACACGTATTGGAGAAAACGGTCGTCAATGGGATAAGAGCGTATAAGGCTATACAGCGGCCTCCCACAAATTTGGCTTTTTTGCACTTTTCGCAGATTAGGATGGTTCCTAATCAGATTTTGTAACGTCATTTCGTGAAAAGCCACATTTGAGTTTTTTGTGTCTCGGATCCCGCACAGGTCTTTTTGGACACACTATTTTCTTCAAAACCATTTTAAACCACATAAATTTGTAGACTCAAACGTGCTGATTACGAATATTCCCGTTTAAGCTTGCGAAGATACCTTGTTTCGTAAATAACCTAGACCATTTTATGAGCTCCGAAATCACTTTTCGCTTCTTCATGGGCAAAGGTAGTGACATATCTCAATAACATAGGTCTCAGTTAATGCAGACGTTCTATCTACTACTCGAATCTGAGTTTTTGACAGACAATTAGTAAAATCAGAAAGAAATGTGGTGATTTCGGCGCAAAATTCATATATTTTGATTGATTTCCATCGTATTCTCTGGGTTTACGCCGGAAGCTGACCTTGTCGCAGAGATAAACATTACCACTAGAGATAATTTTCTGAACTTCTTTCCAGTAACCATCTCAAAAGAGTAAACCGTGGTGTATAAGAAGCTCGGATATGCATAATACAAGCGGAATTAGTTGTTTTCCTTAGGAAAAAGTTATCAAATCGGATCGATTAGAATTTCAATGTGTTATAAAAGTATTTATGCGCTCTACATGATGTTTGAAAGTCATAAACACACAGAAACGAAACTGTAATTATGATAATGTGAATGGTGGAAAATTTTTCAGCGGTGAATAATCGATCGTCATTGACATTCACTATACTGAGTCCCATACAAACGAAGAAAACTTCAATTGTACTTGGTTGAGAAAGATACAAAAAAGTCACAGTGATTATCTTTCTTTTCCACCAAGTTAAACGAATGCTCCTTGATTCGATTCAGTTAAAATTAAAATACCTTATAAGAAGAAAAATCCCTTATAATATTGATGAATTGAATGAAAGAAGACTCACAACACGTCGACATTGTGTTGATATTCGAAGAATTATTACTTTCTACTTGGCACTTCATATGAATACTATCTTATATCTGCAAATGGAGACTATGCTGCGACTGCTTTAACAAGTGATCATGAAGATATGATGTAGATACGGGCAATGAAGAAACTCTTCTCGAACTCGATTTCAGAAGACAGTAGATGATATTATACTCATAAAAAAGTACGAGTAACATTAATACTGATGCTCAAGAGGATTTTCTTTTGTCACTTCAGGCGTTCTGTTGTATTTCGCACACCATACGTCAATCGACTTCTCTTTAAGGTGACGTGAGAATTTCGTCCGTACTCTTGCTTTTCATTGAAAATTTAACGATTGAAAAAAAATAAAATATGTTAAAAAAAATCTTCTATTCCTATCTCTATACACGCTAGCGTTCATCAATACATCATTCATATGGTCGAAGTACTTTTCAATGGATTCGCATTATAATCTATCTGATTTGACAACTATTTTTATGGAAAACAACAAATCTTGTCTTTGTTTCGCAATTTCGAGCTTGCTATGCACCTTAATTAACTCTTTTGAGTTGTTTCTTAGAAAGAGCGTCAAAAAATAATCCCTATGGGTCACTGTCTTGACTCTGTAGGAAGCTCTGTTTCTGAGATGAATCTAGAGAATACGAGCAACATCAATGAAAAAGCACCATATTAGTTTGTATTTTCAGTTTTTCATGCGGTGGCACATTTTCAATTTCTTTTTTGAATGTCGTTCGTAAGAAGATCAACAAATTATCTGTACTCTTAAAAAAAACATAGAATAATAGACCCCTACCATCCATTTATTACCATTACATAAGCCCTTTGTAGGGTTATGAGCAGCATCCACCCTTTCATAGAAAGTTTCTGTTTATAAACTTTGAGAAGAGTTTTATGATTCGTGACATATTCATATACCCTTGTACTTTTTTCTGTGTTCATAAACCCTCTTTAAGTATGTGAACAGAACAAATTCTTATGTGAAAGGATTATAATTGCGCGTTTTAAATACAACCGTAGAATAGTAAATCCATCACCTAAGAGTTTATTTCGTCCATATATCCAAAAGAAATTTACGAACACAAAAAAGGTGCAAGGGTATATGAAGACCGAACTGGTCATAAATCCTTGTCGAGGTTTGTGAATAGAAACGCTATGTGAAAGGATGGATGACGATCATAAATCCAAAAATGGTTTATGTGATGGTTCACAAATGGATATTGACGGTTTATTATTCTACACTTATTTTTACAGCATAGTGACTATGTTTGACTTTGCAGCAAAGCCAGATTCTAGCGTAAATCCGACGAGTACGATGCAAATCAATGAAAATATATGTTTTTTGCATCAAAATTACTATTTTTATTTTTGATTTTACTTTTTTCTCCATCAAAAGCTCAAATTCAAAGAGACAAAGAAATTTTGCATTAACCAAGACATATGTTGTCAAGTCATGTTACAGATGTTCCTATGAAGAGATGAAAAGAGATTTCGCGACTCATAAATGCGACTTGAAATTTTGAAAATGATCAAATCATAGTTTTTTTCCAATCGATTTTTAATCTCTAGTGATAGTACCGTTGACGAATGACCCTTTGCTGAAGGAATTATTTTGAAAGAAAATTCGAACTCAGATCTATGAAGTCCTACATTCATACCACAATGAATACCACCACCAAATTCGTTGAGGACTCGAAGAGGGCACGTGATAACATCGAAGCCGAGTTCGTCGTGTAACAATCGATACATTGGTGTTTCACATTCTTCGATCACTACACAATGATCATTAAGTGAAAGTATATTGGCATTCAGATTGCCTGTGCACAAAGCGAGTGGAGGCACTTCACCAGTCGAATGTAAAGGTGCCCATATTGAACGCCAATCATTGTCAGTAAACAACTTCATTTCACTAGCCAATGGTGGATAATTTTGATTGAGAAGGACAAGACCATGCGATCCTGATGTTGGTGGTCGTAATGGTATCAGTGAAGTATCCAAATGGTAACTACCATCAGTTGGAAAATGCATCATGTGAAAACGAAGATTAGGAAACGTTCGACGAAGCCAATATAAACCTTGGTTATTCGCCGATGCAGATTTTTTATAAAAGACATCTTTTCCCATCCGTACGATATCGGCAGCATCGAAGGCAATTTCATTTTCATTCAGGTTTGTCTTATATCCGCTATTGGCAAAGATTGATTTATTGAAATCTTTTGTATTTATCTTTTCCCAATAATCAACATCATTGAACATTTTTATCGATGAACATGTAGGTTTTGGAGGTTGAAGCCATTTCATATTTGGATCACATCTCCATAGTGAATAAAGGAGAGGTTTATAATACTCAGATTCAAAATACCGAATATGAGCAGAAGTTGGCGCTTCTACCACTGTATCACCTAATGTGATCAATATGTCTCGTGGACATGCAAGACCGAACTGATATTGAGATTTAAAATGAGGCGTGGCTAGTTGATGATTGAAACATAGTTCTTCCTGTGATGATGATACTGGTCGGCAAACATCAATTTTGTTTTTTTGAATAGTTTTATCGTTAGTATTTGTTTGTGAACTTTTCTCTAATGATGTTCGTTTTCGAGTAAGAACTTGTCTAACATCCTCATCGAATATTTCATCAATTGAACTTGCAACTACGATTGATTCAGCTCGAAGCAACTCAGCAAGATTGTCTAATTGAGCTTGTGCCTGTTCAATACGACGACGTGGACGTGGACCCGAAATCGCTCGAATATACGAACATAGATTAGGAGGACCCGTGTGCCATGGATAAGAAGGAGTCTCATCTGGGCAGCACATACCCTCAGCAGTGCCGACACATATAAATTCCAACGGGGCCCATTCTGTCCACGAGTTTACTATTGATGATAAAGCCATGTTTGTTGATCGTATGCAATTACCTATGAAATGAAATATATATTCGTTTACTTATGCATAGTACCCATAAAGTCAAAAAAAATCTTAAAATCCTCATGACTTTCGTGAATTTCATATCAAAAACACGAAAAAAAGAGGCATTTCTGATGATGAAATAGACAAAAACATTGATGTTTTTCAAATTCATTGATGAAAAGCGGCATTTCAATTAAACAAACGCAGTGAATTTCAATTTTAATCAAAATCACGCAATGAAATTAATGAAAATATCTATTTCAATCGATGAATTTGAAATACGTCAATTTTTTTGTCCGTTTCATCATTTTAATGCCGTTGTTTTTTATTTGTTAACTCCCTACGTAGTAATCAGCAGAATGCATTAACATGCATACGTATTTGTCACCATTGATAAGTGATGGCAAGGGTGAATCAAATTTTTTTCGTGATGAATCCAATGGAGAAATGCTAATTAGAAACCGAATCACTTAATTTAGTGGTTTTAAATGGTCAGGATATAATGATTTCTCTCACTTTATAACACTACTGAGAGAATGTAAAATGAAAGAATCTTGACACTAAACCGATACAAAACGAGATATGCCTCACGCACATATATGTTATGTATATACTACTTACAAGGACAGCACTACAGTGCAAAATGCCAAAAGTCGAGAGAAAGCAAAAAAATGTAAAGCAAGAAGAAAGAACGAAAAGGATAGAGCATAGCAAAGAACACTGTAAACTGAGTTAATGATTACCCAAAGAGTGGCATATTTACTTTATATGAAGGTAACTACAGTAAAATAACTACAGTAATTACATATTTAGTGTAAAGAAAAGGTAAAGTGCCACCTCTAGATTCAGTCAATCAAACGTTTTCTCTATCTAGCTGAGTGTGGGCGAGATGTATGAGTATGAGTGCGATTGGTTTAATAGACGAAGAGAAGAATCATATGGATACTTACACTCGCTTCTGCACACGCACTCATTCCTGTCTTCACGGCTACATATGACATTATTATCGATTTCGCTTGTAAAGCGGTATGCCATACAGAAAACGTTGAACATTCAGTCGATGATACAGCAAGTGGCAATGACGAGCGTTACTTGCATATAAAATTTGATCAAAACTTTTCAACGTCGACGAATCCGAATCTGTAATTGATTTCTTAAAATTCGTCACCTTGATTTCTCTTTATAAAAAGTCATTATTTTTCTGAAAAACCCCTTCCCCTATCGTAAAAACAGATGATGATTTTTTGAAACCGACTACAGATTCAGATTCGTCGACGTCGCAAGCTTTTAGTCAAATCTTATAATAAAGAATTATTATCTCGAAGTACTGCTCCTCTATGAAGAAATTTAGGTGTCGAATTTTGCGTTACCTGTTACTGAACAACTGATATACATGCCGTTATCAGGTGTCTGATAATTAGCAGAGTGGTAGGATTAACTTCTCTCTCCTAGTAATGTAATACGTTGTATGCACATGATAGATCTCATATTTAACAAGTAACGCTCGTCGTCGCGACTCCCTCGATCCTCACATGAATGTGCAGCTATTTCTGTATAATATAGTACTACGAAAGCGCAATTGACACTAGTACCAAATGTATGCATGATGGTGGGCATGAGTGTGAGTGTTGATGTTAATGCGCATATGTGTCGAGTGTAGGTGTGGATTTGGGCGTATATATCCGCGTAGTTCTTTCCTTCTCCTGTTCAATCAATCACACTCAAAACTGCACCGATACATCCACACTCGAATCCGATCACCGTGGTACCCATATACCATATCCACACCGACCACTAACACCGATACCTCCACCCAAATATAATATATATAACAATACGTGACCACAACGTCTACACACCGACATCCACATCAGAGATGTTCATGCGATACTTTTTGACGTTCCATGAGTAGGGTGTCCCACAAGTCAATCCTTATAAAACTGTTTTCTCTGCCGATGGAGAGACTAGGTTTTTAAAACTCACTTTACCTCCGACTAATGGCCTCATCGGTAGAACTCATGAACTAAACAAAAAAATAAGATTATTTAAGTTTCCAAAAAAAAACAGCACATAACGAAATAAAAAAGTAATGAATTGTGACAACTATACAACCGAAAAAAGAGAAAATACGTATGCAGAACGTGACTAGACATATAACGATCGGCAATTCTATAAACTAGTTCTGTTTTGCAAACTGAGTCTAGTGGTCCATTCTTTTCGTAAGAACTAGGTACAGTCATGAGTCCTTTTCATATGAGTTAAGATGTTGAACAGCCGATTTATTCGTAGTTCTAAATTTTCGACAGCTGCATTCCAACATACTGGTGCAGTCGGAGTCACATGACTCAGAAGGGTTAAAATGAGAACTTTAGTGAGACTAGTTCTTTTGGAAAGACCTGATGATCATTCTCCATTTCAGAGTAAAGTAGCCATCGGCATTTTTTGAATAACTTTAAAACAATAAGAGAGAAATAACTCTGATTTTTAGCGCTATCTAGAGTCGATGTTGTTCTATCTTTTTACAAAGTCGACGAAAAATTCCAATCACTTTTCTTGTGTACATCATGAACTTTGAAAATGAACTTAATCTGACGTAAAAACAATATGCTTTCTCAACTATAATATAATAGAAAGACAGCCCAGCTTCTTCTCCATCGATCCAGACAAGGTCGAGATCGATAACTGTTTGCGTTCAAAAAATATAAAGATTTTATTGAAGGCTACTTACTAAGTTTACAATAGAAAACACATTTAATGTTTTGTTTTTCACTATATCATATCATATAGTGTCAATATCTAAGGAAAATACATCTGCAAATTTATTTATCTCTTTTTCGGTTTTGTTCATTTGCTTTTAAATTTTTATTTAAATAAATTTCAATATGGCTATCATAATAATAAATACAAGGAGTAACGAAACATATATAATATGTTGCCGAATATTTTCAATATCCTAAATAGTAGCGGGCTGATGTTGTAAAGATTCCTTTGCAATTATTTAAGATAATCTATAGCTCTTGTTGTGTACTCTGCTTTTAAGCAACTTGTCAATATTTTTATTGAAAATTCACAATTTCGTACTTTTTTGCTAGTTTCAACAAGGTTTGACTTAATTGCTATTGTGCCTTTTGCATATATGGTTGGTATTAATTGAGTATCTAAACAATTGGCAAATGTTTCACTTGGTAATTGTACAATGGATGGCTGCCTGATTGTTATCATTTTAATTGAATCCTTCAAATGTGAATAAATGTTGCAGTGCTTAATTCTATCGAGATTATAGAAAATCAATACATCTTGCACTATATTTACGATAGCAGGTTGAGAATTAATGGAACGAATTATTTCGCAAGCATTTGAGCTAGATACGTCAGTAGAAAAAGTTCTTTGACACATTATAAACTCGAGAGATAAACAAATGTGGGTTCTGCTTGATATTGCGCGACTTTCAAGACAATGTATTTAGATCTTCTTTGCTCATCATTCCATATTATTAAAGTTTAATGGATTAGGTTTAGATAGAACGTTGTTGGCGTTTTAGTATAAATATACGTATTTCGATTCACGACAATTGGTAATGGATGTAAGTTATACACTGTTGTATGTGTAACAGCATTGGTGTATGACTGTCGTACAAATAATGTTGAAACCATCAAACATGGTGGATGCGTTTGTATGTTTTCATGACGAATTTGTACATCAGGTTATGACTGAGGTTGTTGGAGTTTGTATGGGTGTATGTTGAATGAATACATCTAAGCACTGGCAAACGCACATCTTTCTTAGAAATGTAAATTATAATTGACATTATAATGTTATGATATGATTACATTAGATTAAATATAAAGTAAAAGCGATTTTTATGTTTTCGTCGATGTACGTAGAGTTCTAACGTCGTTATATGTTTGATTCCTCGCACGCCAAGAACATGCACATCAGTAATGATAAGTTTTATCCTTCACTTTTTTGCAAATAAAATCAATTAAGCATTTAGCTTAAAAACCGTTTTTGATTGATTAGAGATCAATTTAAGAGTTAATATGTTGGCTACGACATTTTTTCTTATTTTAAAAAATCAAAAAAATCAAAATAAATATTCAAACAATTATATAGAAATGTATCTAGAATATATTATCATTAAAAATAAAATATATGAATAAAATCATTCATTGTAAAGTATCATTGACTTGTTTACCAAATGATAAAAATATTTGTTCAAGTGTTGTTTGTGATATTGTATATGTTTCAATATTTAAATATTGTTTATTTTGTTCAAGTAATTCAAATAAATCAGCTGGTGTACCTTGTTTAACTTGAAATGAACCTGTTGAATATGATAGTTCTTTAATTTCAACATTCAATTGTGTTTGTGATAATAAAAATGATTGAACATTTTGAATAGTTGTTGCATTGACATCATTAGATGTTGAATGAACTTTAATTTCAATTGTATAACCTTGACCAAATTTTGATTTTAAATGTTGAATTGTACCCAAACAAACTAATTGACCATTAAACATAATACCAAGACGATTACATACACGTTCACTAAAACAATAATATAAATTAATAAAATAAATAAATTCTTATATTTTACCATTCATCCATTGAATGACTTGTTAATATAATTGTTAGTTTTGCTTTAACAGCATTAAGAAATATTTCTTGCATTTGTTGTCGAGCATTTGGATCAACCCCAGTTGTTGGTTCATCAAGAATTGCAACTAATGGTGGTCCTAAAAATAATCCAAATATATATAATTATATCCTATCATAAAATAAAAACATTTATTCTTTTTTTTTTATTTTATTTTTACCAATTAATGCAAGTGCAGCATGTAATCGTCGTTTAGTTCCTCCACTTAATTGATGAATATAATTATTAAGAAATGGATCAAGTAAAAATAAAGAACTAATTTTTTCAACAACTAAATGTATACGTGAAAAAGTTACACCACGTATACGTGCTAATAAATATAAACCATTTTGAACAGTTAAAAAGTCCATACTACAGTTTTGTTGAGGACAATAACCTAATTGACGCATTGATTTTAAATGACGACGAACATTTTGTCCATCAATATAAGCAGTACCTTGTGTTGCTAATTCATCACCAACAAGTATACGAAATGTTGTTGTTTTACCTGCACCCTAAATAGAAAATTTATATTACTATATTTTTAAAAAAAAAGAAACTCTTTTTGTTTTTGTTTTTGTATAACTTACATTATAACCAAGTAAACCAAATGCTTCACCACGTTTAGCACCAAATGTTAAATGATTAACAGCAAAAACATTACGACCTGGAAAACGTTTTACAAGATCATGAACTGTTAAATGATCAGTTTCATGTTCTTCTTCATTAGTATCTGTATTTAAAAGACTTTTATTTGTTGCTGAATAATTTAAACTTAAAATTCGATGACGTTCTTCTAAACATCATTATCAAGCATATTTTCATCAAACTCTAAAGGATGTGTTAAACATGAAAATTTTAATAATCCACTATCTATTGTAATTAATACTAATAATAAAATAATAATATGTAAAATAAGAACTACCCAATTCCATTCAATTGTATCATTTCCAATAGGTGTAAAAAATGAAAAATCTGTATGGATAAATATTTGACAAAATGTACTTTGCTGTGCTAATATATATGTTGCTATAGCTTGTGCATTTATAGTTGGTGAAATAATATTAAATAACCAATAGATCAATTTTTGAATAAATGTATTACTAACAAATGACATAACTATTGGTACAATAATACTAATCATATGAAGAATAATTAATATAAATAATACTGATAATCCACACTATATAAAATAATTTTAAAAAAGAAAAAAAAGAAAAAAGAAAAAATCATGATTAATAAAGAAAAGAATATATACATACAAGAAGATCGCTTTTGAAAATTTTTGTTATGAGATATACAAATGGTAATGTTGGCAATACAATTATTATTGTTAATGGATAAAATTGTACTCGTAAATCCCATGAACTAGCAAATTCAATTGGAATTATACTTGTTGATGAAGTTCGACTACTTGGTAAACCATTGAAAGCAACATCAAGTATACAATACATAGCAAGTAAATAACAAAACCAAATAATCGAAGTCATAATATCAAATAAATAATTAAAAAGCCAATAGCATGCTGGACTAAAATTTCAAGTTCATATGAATATGATTTAGTTTTTATTTTTTAAAATGAGATATAATATGAATTAATATGTTAAAGAGAAATTTGAATGAAGAAGATATCAAATATTGCTTTTCATACTAATAATTCAAGGTATTTTCTGAGACATGATCTAAAAGGAGTGTTGAAGTATGAGAATAAAATTTAGGACTGCTCAACTCTTTTTCTAGAATGTGAACAGATACCTTGGCAACAGCTCAATACAGACTATGAAATACATAGTAATGAAAGTGATTGGCACTTTGAGATTATTATGAAAGACGATTGAATTCAAAATACCTATCTTTAGTTCTTTTTCCTGACACACTGTAATATATTAGGTAGCCCATAAATAATTAGATGAGAAAAAGACTCAATATCTTCAGCCTGCTTTAATTAGTAGAACTAGGTTTTTTCGGGTGTGGGGTGCCTGTAGGTATCCTATGAACACAATCACCCACACCCTTGTATGGAACAAAACCAATATTTTGGATTTTGTCGGAACATGGTTTGTGTTTTGAAAAATCTAATCATACTATTGGATAGAGCTAACTGAGTTGTATTTGGAAAAAGAATAAGAACTCTAGAGCAGGCTCCTAGGTAAATATAAACTACTTTTACTTGAATTGGGTGTTAACTTCACCTATGTTTTAAAAATCTAAGTATAGAACCGGAATTGTTTCTCTTATATGCCATGTATATATCGATGATAATACAGACTGAAGTATCGTTAGAGAATCTTCTAACCATGAGAAAAACTTTTCTATCTTCTCAAAAGAATAGTTTCATTATTCATTAAAAATGATTTGGTTTAATTCAATTGTTAGATCATTTCGAACATATTTCAAGTAAACTTACTGTAAACCACTAATGTTCAGTAATGATAAAAAGCTATCTTTGCGTTCACTAACTAGAAATATTGTTGTATAGAAAAATATCAGATAGAAAATGAATCTAAATAAATAAAGAAAAAAAAAAGATAAGTGAAATATTTATTTTCTTTTTAATTAAAACTACTTACACATCTAATATAAGTGAAGCTGGTAAAACCTTAAGAAAACATGATGCTATACTTAATACATTCAATAAACTACCAATTGTTGGTTCTATTGTCAAATTTCCTGTTTTTTTATAAATTAATGTTGTTTGAATTGATGCAGCAGTATCATTTAATGCATATTTAAAAAATATATTCGATGCAACTGAAACAACTTCATGACCTGATATTAAATTTGATGATAAAGTTTGTATCTTATATATATTTTCTTGCGGTACAGATACTTGAAAACCAAGATAAATATCAGTATAAGTATATGG